GGCGTTTTCCAGGCCAGCAGCCCCTTGCACAGCTGGCTGCTGGGAGGTCGAGTGAGTTTGGTGGGCTTTGGCTGAGGGGTTTCAGCAGTGCTTTTTGGGGCAGTGCTGCAACACCCCATTCCCCGTGAGAGCTGGCTGGCAGCACCCCTCCCCTAGCTCAGACGTGGCCTTGGGGCTCTTGGGCGGTGTACAGGGCCCGCCTGACGCGTGCGCTCTCTCCGCAGTGTGTTCTGGGACCTGTACTGCGCGGCGCCTGACCGCCGGGAGACCTGTGAGCACTCCAGTGAAGCCAAGGCCTTTCATGACTACGTGAGTAACCGTGGCCCTGCGGGCGGCCGGGCAGCGCGAGGTAGGGCTGTGCGGAGGTCCCTGTGCCCTGGCTGGGCAGGCATGGGGCTGACCAAGCAGCCCTAGCCGTGAGGAGCTGCTGCTGTTACTCCCCTGAGCTGCTGGGTGTTGTGTTGCCTGGCGGGGGGTGTGTGCGCTGTGACAGGGTGGGGTTGTGGCTCTAGCCTGAGGGAGCCGATATGCTGTGACGTGGTCTGGTGGGGATGGCTGTAGCCTGGGGAGGACGCTGTGCTGTGACAGTCTGGGCCAGGTGTCTTTAGCCTGGGGGGGTGGGAGACGCGTTTGCTGTGACTGGGTCTGGAGGGGATGGCTGTAGCCTGAGAAGGACGCTGTGCTGTGACAGGATCTGGGAGGGGACAGCTGTAGCCTGAAGGAGCCGGCGTGCTGTGACAGGGTCTAGAGGGGTACGTGTACCCTGGAGAGGCAGTGTACTGTGACAGGGTCTGGGGGAGACGGCTGTTACTGAGTCTGGCTGGCAGCGGGGTGGGCTGGGGAACACATTCTCCCTCCCACCCTCCCCAGCCAACTGCCTGGGAGGAGCAGGGTCCGAGGGTCAAGTCCTGTTGTGTGGGGGCACCAGCCTGGTGTCTGGGCCGGGCAGGAAAGGGTTACGGCCTGGAGAGGCAGTGTACTGTGACAGGGTCTGGGGGAGACGGCTGTTACTGAGTCTGGCTGGCAGCGGGGTGGGCTGGGGAACACATTCTCCCTCCCACCCTCCCCAGCCAACTGCCTGGGAGGAGCAGGGTCCGAGGGTCAAGTCCTGTTGTGTGGGGGCACCAGCCTGGTGTCTGGGCCGGGCAGGAAAGGGTTACGGCTCCGATGCTGTTGAAGAGACGGCATGTTACCAGGGTTCGCCTGTGGGGGGGGGGCGGGGGCTGGGCGCGCGCCCGGGGGGG